CCTCACTCTTAACAACTTCTCTTTCAATTCCTCCCACTTCCTACAGACAAAGGGGGTGGCCATGGGTATCCGCATGGGCCCAAGCTATGCCTGCCTCTTTGTAGGTTACGTGGAACAATTCCTCTTCCGTAGCTACACTGGCCCTAAACCCCACCTCTTCCTCCATTACATTGATGGCTGTATCGGCGCCGCCTCATGCTCCCACGAGGAGCTCGAACAGTTCATCCACTTCACTAACACCTTCCACCCCAACCTTAAGTTCACCTGGACCATCTCTGATACCTCTCTCTCCTTCCTGGACCTCTCTGTTTCCATCTCTGGCAACCGATATCCATTTCAAGCGCACCGACTCCCACAGCTACCTAGAATACACCTCCTCCCACCCACCTTCCTGCAGAAATGCCATCCCCTACTCCCAATTCCTTTGCCTCTGCCGCATCTGCTCCCAGGATGAGGCATTCCACTCCCGAACGTTTCAGATGTCCTCGTTTTTCAAGGACTGCAACTCTAACTCCCCACCCGCCCCTCCCCACCACGTACCACCCCACCAACCTCCGGATCCAACGCATCATCCTCCGACACTTCCGCCATCTGCAATCCGACCCCACCACTGAAGACATTTTTCCCTCCCACCCTCATCTGCTTTCCGGAGGGACCACTCTCTCCGGGACTCCCTTGTCTGCTCCACACTCCCCTCCAGCCCCACTACAACCGGCACTTTTCCCTGCAACCGCAGAAAGTGCTACACCTGCCCCTACACCTCCCCCCCTCAACCCCATCCCAGGCCCCAAGAAGACCTTCCACATCAAGCAGATGTTCACCTGCACATCTGCTAATGTGGTATACTGTATCCGCTGTTCCAGATATGGCCTCCTCCTACATCGGGGAAACCAAGCAGAGGCTTGGGGACCACTTTGCAGAATACCTACGCTCGCTTTGCAGTAAACAACTGCACCTCCCAGTCGCGAACCATTTCAACTCCTCCTCCCATTCCTCAGACGACATGTCCATCCTGGGCCTCCTGCAGTGCCACAATGATGCCACCCAAAGGTTGCAGGAACAGCACCTCATATTTCGCTTGGGAACCCTGCAGCCCAATGTGGACTTCACAAGCTTCAAAATCTCCCCTCACCCAACCGCGTCCCAAAACCAGCCCAGCTTGTCCCCACATCCCTAACCTGTCCTTCCTCCCACCTCAAGTCCCACCCCCATCTCCTGCCTACTAGCCTTATCCCATCCCCTTGACCTGTCCATCCTCCCTGGACTGACCTATCTCCTCCCTACCTCCCCACCTACACTCACCTTTACTGGCTCCACCCCCGCCTCTTTGACCTGTCTGACTCCTCTCCGCCTATCTTCTCCTTTATCCATCTTCTCCTTTATCCATCTTCTATCTGCCTCCCCCTCTCCCTATTTATTTCAGAACCCCCTTCCCCTCCCCCATTTCTGAAGAAGGGTCTAGGCCCGAAACGTCAGCCTTCCTGCTCCTCTGCTGCTTGGCCTGCTGTGTTCATCCAGCTCTACACCTTGTTATCTTAGGGACAACAGCTGATGGCAATGATTCCACTATTCCTGTCCAGATGGATCTTCAGTTTCTTTTCTTGTCCCACGGCTATTTCCTCTTGCCTTGCATCAACATGTATGTCCCACCTTCCACCCTATTTGCAGACCTTCCCTTTGCTCGTTTCTCTTCTCCCTCTCTTCCTGCCACTCTTCCCTTAAAATTGTTAGTTTTTAAATTTTTTTTTCTAGTTTTGATTTTCTAAAATCAGAAGTACTTGTGTTTCGTAGAAGGTTCAGTGCTGTCCTCAATGGCTTTTTATCCTCCACTCTATATAAATGAGTGCATCCTGCATCGATTCCCAACCCACTCCTCATATTTTCAATTGTTAATTTTTCATTCTTTATCCTTGTCTACAATTCCTACGACACCACCTGTCTTGCCAATTTATAATCGGTTTGAATTTATACAGGACCAATTTAACCAGTATGGTAAATATATTAACTTTAAGCTGAGTACAAGTCTGGATATAGTCAACTTGGTATAAAGCAGAAACATAAGCAGTGAATACCAGTTTAGGTTGGATAAGTTCATTGACATCTGCAAACAGCTCCTTTTTCTGTTTATTTTTGCATCTCATATCTCTCAAACCCCTCAAACTACCTGTGAAGGTTAAACAGGAATCAGTATTGAGATGACCACCTTGAAAAGGTTCTGTTGTTCTCTCTGGGATTTCCGCTTTCATCTTCTGGCATGTTCGCCTTCATTGCTTTCTATCTCCTTCCTTGTGTATGATAAAGTGTTTGCCAAATTTCACTTTCACATATTCTTCCTCGGTGATTCTTTCTGACTCTGCCTTACCCCACACGGATTCCCACTGAAGTTCCATTCTTCATGTTTGAAACCATCCAAGATTACAATCTGTTAAGATTATTTATGTATTTATTTATTTATTAATTCTGCTTTGACCCCTTTCAGAACATCTTCAATCTCTGCTCTTTTAAAGGACTGAGATGTAAAGGAATTTGTTCACACAAAAGGCTATGAATCTTCGGAATGGACCATCTTTGAACATTTTTATTGCTGAAATGACAGATTTTTGGGGTCACAGTAAATCAAATAGTGTGGGCAGCTGGCAAGAAAGCAGAGAGGCAACTAAGAGTCATTCATAATGTTGAATGGTGGAGAAGGCTTTGAGGAATTGTTTTGTTTATTCCTGATCCAAATTATGTTCTTTGTTTTGACTTTGCTTCCTTTAGTCCTACTTTTTTATTGCTCAGTCCTTTTAGTAGAATCCATCAACATTGTGCTGGATGCTGGCCATAAATCAGAGTTTTAAAATTTAAGTGAGAACAAAATAAGTGTTCAGACTTTGAATTGGTTAACTGATAGAGATTAAATTCTCATTTGATAGATCAGTAATAATGAAAGCAAATGTCTTTGAAAAACTGCTGCAAATGAAAGGAACAAAATATTTTTATTGCTGATGTTTGTTCTCTGAACAAGTGATGAGTTGACCTCAGAATTGAAGAAGGAATTTAAGAAACACTAACGGGGGGGGGAAAAAAAATTAAATGGTACAGGACAATTTGGAGCTTTAATGTGGAGGTAGCTCTGGTAAAATGGATTGAAGGAACAGCTTATTTGCTGAAATCTTTGATTCCATGGTGAGATTTTCTTCTCTAATCATTCATAATTTATTATTATGCTTCAGATTTTTAAACTCTGCAAAGATTAATCAGGTAGGATATGAATAGGTGTACGCTATTGAGACTTCTGTTGCAATTAACTCAGTGACTGCATGTTGGCTTTGTAGCAGTATGGGAGCTATGAAGTTTATATTCTAGCACCCTCTGCTGTTTAATTGCAGAACTCATGTGCTTGCAGTCACCATTTTGCCTCCTTGCTAAAGTAGTCATTCTATTTCTCGAGTCTGTTTTCATCCTTTTCTGGGGTCACCTCAAGTATTATGTTTACAAGTATTTGTGTGTTAATAGAATACTGTTTCTTTCAATAAATCAATCAATGTGGCCTATGTTTATTATTTCATAGAACACACTTTAATTTTACCCCCAAATTTGACCAATATTAGACAAGCAATTTTCAATGAAAATATGGAAATTCTGAATTCTAAAATGGCTGCGAGAGAGGAATGCATTTTTAGGAGTTACTCATTTTTCCTTCAATTTTCTTCCTTTTGTAGCAGAGCTGACTTACAATGCGTTGTCACGGAGTCCAATCACATAATCAGTCCTTATCCAGGTATTTGCATTTGCAGCAGAAATCACTATATAGTGAGTAATGGCCCTTGATGATTTACCCTCCCTAACCCAGGATCACTGATGCTAGTTATGCCACCTTGACAGCTACTTCAGGTGAGATCAATGGAAACCAGGGTTTAAATAAAAGACCTCCTTACCTGTATAGCACAAAAATGACTGAACCTTTTGGAGAATGAATTTATGCTTTTAAGATAGTGAAATTCGACTCTTAAATGTTATTTTCTATATTGTCTTCCATTAACTGGAATTATTGAGGCAACTCCTGAAGAATATGCAAGAAGGAAAAAAACTTATTTTTAGCTCCTCATTATTATGATGTCAGCTTGGCTGCACAATATAGAATTTATCAAATATAAGTTAGTTATGAAGCTCAGCTGCAAATCAAAAATCCTAAATGTACTATTACAAAATTGCTAGTCTTTAATGACTAATCAAATTTTGTAATTTTGAAGAAAGTTTCGGAACTTTACACTTTCCTCTGGCATTGTTTATATGTGGAGTTTGACTGGGATAAGATGCATCAGGTGACTCTCTGAACTGGAACTGTGTTTTACTGTTTTATTCTTGGTACTGCCATAACTATTCAACATCACAACATTTTGTCTTTGGTTGTCTCCAATGCTGTTTGGTGTGAATGCTGATGCTTAGTTAAATGCAGCCTGTTTTCAACTTGTCTGGAGGTCTCCAATCTCCACTTGCTTACATCACTGATCATCATTGTAAATTTTATCATAAGAATATAACCATATGACTTTGTCCATTGTTACTTTCTTCCTGGTTCAGACTTCTACTTCTGTGCTGTGCTCGTCTTTGGGATACTTTATGCTTAAGGAAAGCCATGTTGTTCTATCTCATTGCTTACGGCAATAGTAGTAAAATGTATAGCTTAAATATTGAAATAGACTGTTAAAGGTGCAGGTCTGCATACGTCTTACAATCTTAAGTACATCCAGTTCCATATATGGTTCTGTTCTACTTAGAAGAAAAAAGTGATCCTAATTATATCACGTTTAAATTGTTTTGTTACCTTTTTAAGTTTATTGTATTAAATATTGATTTTTCAATCATTTACTTGCTGAGCTTCAATAAGTTTCAGATCAGACCGACCTAGAACAGATGAAATATCAATGGAATTAACTAATCAGATAAAATGAGTTAAATAATACCTTAATAAAGAATTTTTTTGCAAATTAGCAATTATTGGTTCTGTATTTCAGATGCGATGAATATGTACATCAGCTCGATGAAATGCAGCGTCAACTTGCTGCTGCCGAGGATGAGAAGAAGACTCTGAACTCTCTTCTTCGCATGGCCATTCAGCAGAAACTGGCACTGACTCAACGGCTGGAGGACTTAGAATTTGATCATGAACAGTCCAAGCGTGGCCGAACCAAGTCGTGGACCAAAACCAGAGCTAACAACCCCAGTGTAAGTCATGTTCGCTCTTGTGTTGTCAGACAAGAGGGAGTAGTTGTCAGCAACCAGATGTATTGCAGTGAGAAGTACAAAATCTGCTGTGATTGATTGTGATATACAGGGGATTCACAAGAGATTGGATAGTAAATAGGTGTAACGCTTTGGTGTGCAGCACAGTATTAATGCCCTGTTTTCTTAGCATTGCAATATGTTTATCTGTATTGGATTGTTAATTGTATGGAGATGAAGTAACTGGATTAGTGTGGCATATACATTTTGTAACTTACGGTCTTAATTGTGATACCTGTACATATATGGGAACTGTGGTATTTCTGAGCTGTCAATTCATTCTATCAGCTTGATCCAACACCACCGTCTGAAGTCTGTATAGTACAAATGTGTTTTTTTTTCCAACCAGTTTAGTTTGCACTTCATCTTCCAGACAAAGGGTTATCTTTAACAGTATGCTTTGCATATGTTTACAGTATTGATATATGCAAATTCATCCCAACTCCATTTAAACTTCAATTTTGTTTTACCAAAATTATACTCAAGATGATGAGCAGTTTTAGAAATGCTTTGAGAATAATTGTAATTTCTTTCAGAATGAAAAGGATTATGGAGTTTTATATTTACTAATACTGTTCTTGAACCTGTTTTAAGTATAGTAGGTGTGAAGATTATATCCTGAGCAAGAGACTGATTTTTGTCTCTGTATTCCAGTATTGAAAACACAACACAATGCTTCAGTGTTAGTTCATGCCACTGGTGCTTGCAGGCTATGAATTTGAAAATGTCTCCCATGTTTATTTATTCGAGCACAGGCAGTGTGGAACTCTCCATTGTGTGACAATATAGGACATGGAGGAAGTCCTCTTATTAAATATGAGTAATTTCAAAACTTGCAGTGAATGTGTTAATTTTTATTTCATAAGATTTTGCTTTGAATTCAACAAATACAGTAACTGACTGCAGCAGTGTCTATTATTTACGTAGAACAGTACAGCACAAGAACAAGCCTTTGACCCACCATGGCTGCACTACCATGATGCTATTCTAAACAATCCCATCTGCCTGCACATAGTTCGTATCCCTCTCTTCCCTGCCTGTTCGTGTGTCTGCCTAAATGCCTCATAAACGTTGCTATTATATTTGCTCTGCCACCTCCCCTGGCAACATGTTCAAGGTGCCTACCACCCTCTGACGTTAAAAAGAAATCTTGCCTTGCACCTCTCCTTCAAACTTTCACCTTAAAGCAATGTCCCTTGTATCCGTGCTCCTCATAATTTTACATACTTCTATCAGGTCACCCCTGAGCCTCTGATTTGAGTGAAAGCAATCCAAGTTTGTAAAACCTCATACACTCCAATCTAGGCAAAATCCTGGTAAATCTCTTTTGCCTCCTGTCCAAAATCTTCCGATAGTGCGGTGACCAGAACTGCACATAATACTCCAAATGTAGCCTAACGAAAATGTTAAACTGCTGCAATATGACTTGCTTAACTTTTAAACTCGGTGCCCTGACCAATGAAGGCAAGCATACCATACGGCTTCCTAACCACCTTTTCTACGTGTGTTGCCACATTCAGGGAGGTATGGATTTACACTCCGAGATCCCTCTGCATACCAATTCTCCTAAGTGTCCTACCATTTATTGTATACTTTCCTCTTGCATTTGACCTTCCAGCCTGCATCACCTCACTTGTCTGGTTTGAGTTCCATTTGTCATTTCTCACCCAACTTTTCAACTATATCCTGCCGCCTTTGACAACATCCTCGCTGTTCACAACTCCTCTAGCATTCATGTTGGAAAACTTAATAGAAGTTGAAGCACTTTGATGCTGTTAATTTAAATAAGCATAAAATGAAACACACATAATGGACTGAGGCTGCATCAAATTTGGTAATCTGTTATCAAACATATCTGCTATCAGTCACAAATTTCCTTTGCCTAAGCAAAATCCCTCCTTGAACCCTGCTATTTCTCTTTGCCAGTAGCTTTGTGTTTTTAATACCACCACATTGCATACAAGTAGCTGGGAGGTTTGTTTTAATATGAAAATTACGGGCATTGCGTACCTTCTGGTTCCAAAAAAGTATCATATTATGACTTGGAATATCCATACCTTGTGATATGTAAGCTTAAATGTTTCACCACCTTCTTTAAATAAACTTTATTCATCTCCTCCTACCCACTTTAAAAAGATTTACCATGAAATAACTACATGTTAGAAATGAATTTAAATTGTAGATCCAGATTTCTAAATGAATAAAGTTAAAATATTTTGTATACTTAACTGGCCACAGTGCATCAAAAGACTGCAATTGAAAGCTGTTCTGCTCCCAGTTAAAACATATTGGCATTTATGTATTACTCACTGTTGTTGTGAAGGTAGTAAGAAATAGTTATCAGTTTTAGAAACCGAGTTCTATAGTAAAGCCTTTCGTATTAAATACTTGTTAACTTGTGAAGCAGCTGTGCGACCTAATATTTTCTTTAAATGCACAGCAGTTTCTGTAGTAATTGATTTAGGCTACTGATTTAGAGTATGACTTCACAGACCAAAATAAAAGAACAAAGTTTGTTCTTTTAGCTACACTCAATGCATTATTACAAATGATTGTTCTGTCTGAGTGCTTTCAGTCCTACTTTAAAGTAGGATTGAAAGATTTTTATTCTTCGAAGTAATAACTTATGACACAGCAAGGATACTGAAGAGTTGAACATTTTAAAAGTTTGAAACAACCTGTGATAGTGAACCGGAAATTTGCCATTGTTGAAATCATGTATACAAAGTATTTGTTAAATTCATCTTGGTTGTGTGCTGCGCAGTCTTTCGAAGGCCTTTGATCTACTGGTAATTATCATCTTTGCATTGAGTGTTAAGCACCAGTGGTTTGAATTAACCTAGCATTTAGATATGACTTTAAACATTTTTACTATATTTGAAGCAGGCATATTTGCTTTCATATTTCAGGAAACATTTTAATAATGCAGTGATTTCCGTTTAGTAGTACAAAACAAAATTTGATAACATATGGTATTATCTAATTGCTGTTATGACACAGCACATGAAATCCATATAATGCCTACCTCTGTAGCAGACTGTCTATCCTTTTGGCTTCTGGCTGCATTTGCTACTGCTTTTAGAAGTCTACATATAATGAGCTGCATGTCTCTCTTATCTAATGGCTTTGTAAACCAATTCCTGTGATAAATGATCTCTTTGCATGGCCAATAACAGGCCACTCAATACTTGTGAGGTCAACTTCCTATAAATGGTTCTCAGCATGTTATATGCTTTATGTTCCACAGTAATCCAAAATGGTCAGTTTTGATCACTAACAGTCCACAGTTTGCATTAACAGATTAATATGACTAGCAAACCTTGTGCTATGCATTCTTCATGAATTGCTTCTTGTGCAAGTGGTAATTTGTAATAAGGGTTTTGGCTAATTTTTTTTTTTATTTTCCCTTTTTCAGCGATAAAAGTCCCTGGAACAGGACTTTCCAGCCAAGAGTGCAGTTTTTAAAAAAAAAAAAGCTAGGGTAGTCGGTTGCACAAAATGACCTAATAGTGAAGAGAACACTATTGAACCACATTAATAATAGAGGCAGTATAATTTGCTGCCTTGTGTTTGTTTTGCACTGCAAGTTGCAAACATGAACAAAATTACATTAAAATGGCTGCTGCAGGAAGAGAAACTCACAAGTGTTGAAGAAATCTTCAATAATTTGATTAACATTATGCTTTATGATATAATACACAATTTTGAGATGTTATGATATTCATATATGTTTCCCAGTTACTTGTTGTTTTTAATCAGACGTTATACCTGTGCACTTTGATATTTTTTGATTATTAGAAAGGTAGAAAATGCTGGAGTTTGTGGATATAACTCTGCCGGTCGTGTCTTTACTTGGTGTGATAGAGTTCTGCATCCGCATGCTGCAGAGGAGTCAATTATATTTTTAACCTGTGTTCAAATTATATTTTTACACCACCGGAATTTGTGCTTCAGCATTTTCTCCATTAGAATTTTTGTTTTGCATATGTTAACTGCCACTTCTAAATCCAGGGTGATCCAATTCTGGGGTTTTCTTGTATATTATTCTTAGGAATAGCTCAATGTAACAAGGAAAAGAACTTGACTTTTTTTTCTGGTAATGGTAATAAGCACTTGAAAAGTAGTATTACCAACAAATTCCAGGATTTCTGGGTTTTAAAAATATCAAGTATCATTGACTTAATAGAATTTTTTACAAGGCGCCAAATAAATTCCATTTTGGAATTGTTTCCTTATTTCTTTTTTTTATTGTGCCAAAACTTGGTACACCTAGAAGAAAAATCTAAAAGATTGTTTGTTGTGGGGTGTTCTGTTTCCATGCCTTCATTTTGTTAATCCTGCCAGCAGTGCCTTTGATGATTTTAAACAGTGTGCTTGTTCCTACAATTATGTTTTTGTGAACTAAAAAGTATTCAGATTTCAAAAAGAAAGGATTAAGCAATAAGTGCAACTGAGAACCCCCCTTTTGCACACAGTTTCCAGTGTAGTCTTAATTTTACAAATAAATTGTATGAAATTCTTCTATCTCGATGATACTTCTGAAATGCAGATTCATGCAAATTCAGGGGATGCTATTTTGGGAACCAAATCAAGTGAGTTTGGACTCCTAACAGACACAATAAATTGTATTAACACATTTGTGGTTACAGTACAGATGACTGTATCACATGTTATCTTAGCTTTGGTGATGGTTGCAAATAACTGGTATTGTTAGCAGATGTGAAAACATTAAGACATTAACTTTCCTTACCTGCTGTATAATCATTGTGTAAGTTCAGCAAACAGAAAATAGATGCTGCATCAACAAACCATAAACCATGGAATAAACTGGTGAGGTTTGTTGAGGACAACTTCTGACAAATTGGTCAAATTTAGAAGTAACTTTAAATTAAGTGCAATTTAAATGATGAATTTTACATTATTGCAAAAAATATTTTCTGTTCGCTGGAAGAATGGTGTAATTCTTATCCTTTTTGTTACAGTATTGATCATAATCTCAGTAACATTAAAAAATGTATTTCATGTGGGTATTTATTTGAAGCAATTTTCACAGTACTGTATTACTTCTTATGTGCATTATCACTTAGTGGCAGGTTGGCTTAAACATAATGTTATATGCATGTGTGCCAGCCTAGAGACCTTTACACAGATTTTTTTATACAATTAATTGAAGATTTTTAAAATGTGTGGAACTAAAGGCTTGATAGACTTTGGGAAATATTGAACATTGGACTTGCAAACATATAAAACCTGACAAAAGGTTTTTTGTACCAGGATTATATCTGTGTAAAGGTAATCCTATTGGCTATGTCAATAAATGTGATTACAACTAAAACATTGAGTCTGGAGATGTTTATTCTTGTGTTTGTATTAAATAAATAAGAAATTGCCTACTTTCTTACGATGATTAATTTTGAAAGTCACTAAATTTCATGGAATCTCAGAATGGCTGTAGTATTGAAGGGCAACCATTCAGCCTGGTGTGTCTGTGCAGCCTCTATAAAAGAGCAATTCATGTAGAGTCATTGCTTCCCATGACCCTGCACATTCTTCCATTTTGCATAATGATCCAATTCCCTTTTGGATGCCTTGATTGAATCTGTCTCTGTCATGCTGTCAGACAGTACATTACAGGTTTGAGCTACTCACTGTGTAAAAATGATTTTTATCCCCCTCATGTCGTCATTGCTTATTTTGCCAATTACCTCAAATCCCTCTGGTTCACAGAATTGTAACGGCAGAGAACAAAGTTATTTAGACCATTGAGCCTGCACCCTGTTTTTTACCCAAATGCCCTCATGAATGCCTCAGTTGAACCTGCTTCCACCAGGTGGTACATTCAGCACCCTCCATTAGCTGGATAGGTGGTCTGTGATGCAGAGTGTCGCCAGCAACACCAGTTCAATTCCTGCACTAGATGAGGTTACCATTGAGGTCCTGCTTTCCCAATATTGGCCCTTGCCTGAGGCATGAGACCCCATCCTCAACACTGGCCACACTACGCTGCCTGCTCCTGCTTTCACCGCTGGCTGCCCTGGGCTGCCTGCTCTGGCTCTTGCTGCCGGTCACCTCGGGCTGCCTCCAACTCGGGAGCAGCTGCTTACTCCTGCCACAGGCTGCATCAGGTTGCATGTTCCTGCTCTCATGGCAGCTCAAGATGACTGCAATTGATGTCAGGGATCTCTCTCTCTCGTTGCCACGTTGGGCTCGTCCTCCCCGTGCTTGCTTGATCTCCTCCGCACTGCACAAACTTGCACCTCACAAACTCAGTAGATTAAACTAAGAAAAAAAGGTAGTTAAAGAAAAAAAATGTAAAAAGTGGACGGAGCTGTGCAGCTGCTCCACTGCAGTCTTGTTTTGGGACCCCAGAGCTTAATTTGAAATATTTGCCTCCAATTTGAATTATTATTGAAGTAAAATCAAAAGCTGCTATCTAGTCATTTCAACATAATGAGTTGAAATTGAAAGGTAAGTGAAGTTTGTGATGGAATTTCACAGAACAAGTGATGCTGAGAGAAACAATGAGTTGTGTTAGTGGAATTCCTTGTTTTCACTCTTGTTTAGGATTGTTTTCCATTAAGACAACAGAGGACATCACATTCGGCCCATTTCCAGAATCTACAGAAACCCTTGCCACCCTTGATAAGCCTTGACCTTTTAACCACACCGACAAAGAACACCCACTTGCAAGTCTGTGGCATTGCTTGTCTGCAGTCCTACACCTCCATCTGTCTACTGCCATCTTCCCTTAGTAACATTGGCTTAATTGCATCATTATTACTGTTATGGACCAATCCAAACCCTCTCAGAATATTTTAAGAAGGTAGCCTAGACCCAAACTTTTTCTTATTTTTAAAGGTAAATGTAAAGTGTCAGTTCCAGATGCAATGCAACTGGTCAAACTACCCAAGGTTAAGCAAAACAATTTATTTAAACACTGTAGTTAAAAGAGGAATTTAGAGCAACTTAATTGGAAACTTAATAGATACGGTAACTGTTACTAATTAACTGTTCCAATATAGTAACATTCCATAAACACACCCCTTGACAGAAAAGGAAAACTCAGACAGATTCTCACATGCAGTTCTGCAAAGGAAGGAAAAAGCATCAAGAGACGATTCAGAGAGAGTAGCAGCTGGGAGAAATTCACTGAAGCTTCCAACTCTGTTGAGAACAGAATATCTTCCAATGTTACTGATAAACCAAAACCCAGAGATCCTAATCGGTGAGAGCTGGCCAATCCCATTCGGGCTGTTTGAAAAAACCTGATGCCTTGAAGTGACTTGCTAATACGAACGTTGACCACATTCATCAGTTCCAGAAGGAGAGGGCTGTCAGGAGATTGGAGAAGTGGTAATTTCTCAATTGATTTGTTGAGACTGAGTGATAGTGACGAATAATGAGAAAATTTAACATAATTAAACTAGGATGCTAAGGGGATAAGAATATTGCAGAGTATAGTAATTAATTTGACTGGAAGGTGGTCAATATGATATTCTATTTAAAAATTTGCAATAGAATTACTCTTGATAATTACAGGCTTGTTAGTTTAACATCTGAAATCTGATGTTGTTGGCACATAATTGCCTTTGACAGGTATCACGTTGTTTACTGGAACATATCGAAGAATATGGAATTGGGGAAGAGAAAACTGCATTAAAATTTAATTAGAAAATAACAACAAAAAACAGAAATTAGACATTTTTTTAAGAAAAAACATTTGGAAGTGGATAGGCACGCAACACTGTCTTTTGCTCCTGGTCGTCAATTGTTTTATCCAAATTACCAACTACTAGCAAACATAATCATGTTACTCATTACCATCCCAAGTCACTAGATTCCCCAAGAAAATGTTAACAATAATTGGATGCCTTACCTTCTGAAGAATGGTCCTGCATTTGTCGTGTTGTGCAGAACAGTCATGCAATCTAAATGCATCATTGTTTAAAGGCACCTGAAGGAACAAGAACAGATGAGATAACAAATGGTGTACTATTTTTCTTCTCTCATTGAGCAGGCAGTCCTTCGGCTTCTGAGTTGATCAAAACTTGACAACTAAACATGATTCTGATAAAATAACTGGGACCTGATCGATGTAACTTCTTTCAAACACCAGTACAATTGATTGCTCAATTAGGGTTGGACAACAAGTCAAGGTCTGGAAACTGACACCTATGGCTGTGCCCACCTTTGCCATTTTAATACAACTGATCATATAGCTTTAAAATTGAACAATAAAGATTCACAGAAATATAGTTTTATAAATCTGAAATGATTGAACTGGCTAAGCTGCAGCAGACCATTTCCATAAATTAAGTGGTCTACAACAAGGGGTCACATTTACAAGTGTAAAAAAAATCTAGAATTGAGGGATGAGAATTTCTTAATATAGACTTAAGGCTGTGGTATTCTGTTCTAGGATGAATGATGACAAGAAACTCAATGTTGAACATTAGAATGAATAGGTTTGTGAAGAAAAAGGAGTTTGAGGGTAGGTAAATATAGTTGGACTATTTGCTCTTCTGAAGCAAATATACACTTACTGGGCTTGATTCCTGTTGTAACTTCTGTGTTTCTTTGTCATGGACCCACATCAGGTGATTAGGGAACCAATATGAGAAAATAATTCTTTGGTGCTGTCCTTTATCAACCTACTATTTGCAGATATCTGTCTGTAGTGCAAATAGTGGAAGTGCCCATCTGTAAAGCTGACACTGGCCACTCTTTGTGGTGACAGAATAAGCTATCCAAAGTTGTCCACCATGAATATTGGGAATAAGCTGAATTTGAGATAATCACAATCAACTTGCCAGGCATCACTTTTCCGTCACTATCAGGCTGGAAATTGACTGTCATTCAATGGGGAGAGTAGAAGAGCATACTGGTAGCAGAACCGCAGATCCCTTCAAATAAGGTTAATTTTTACTCAGTTACCACTATCTATAACAAGCACAGAGAATCCTGGAGAAACTCAATAGGCCTGGCAGCATCTGTGGAGAGAGGAGCAAAGTCAATGTTTTGAGTCCAGTGTTATTTTTCTTCAGAACTCCACTATCTGGAGTCGCTTCCCAATCAGCAGCGAAAGATGAAAGATATAATTAGTTCCATTAGTACTGCATACTCATCAAGAGACTCACTGAGTCAATAAATGTGAAGCTGGAAAAGCACAGCAGGTCAGACAGCATCCGAGGAGCAGGAAAGTCGATGTTTTGAGCCTAAACCCTTCGTCAGGACTGGGGAGGGGGAGGGGAGCCCAGAAGTAAATAGATGGAGGGGGTGTGGGGTTGGGGGAAGGGTAGGTGGGATGGTGATGGGTGGATGTAGGTATAGGTTATTGTGATTGGTCAGTAGGAAGGGTGGAGTGAATAATTAGTAGGAAGATGGACAGGGTAGGTCTGGTCAGGCGAGGGAGGGCTAGACATGGGATAACGCTGGGGGTGGAAGGATTTTGGAGCTAGTGAAGTTAATATTCAGGCCATTGGCTGTAAACCCCTAAGGCTAAATATCAGGTATTGTTCCTCCAGTTTATGTTTGGCCTCATTCTGAAAGTGGAGAAGACCAAGGATGGACATGTTGCCAGTGGAGTGGGAGGGGATATTAAAATGGATGGCAACCAGAAGGTCGTGTTTGGTGCATGCACAGCGCACATGCTCTGCGAACTGGTTCCTGAGTCTGCGTTTGGTCTCCCTGATATGGAGGATACAATAGATGAGATTGGATGAAGTGCAGATGAATCTGCCAGATCTGGAAGGATTGTTTGGGGCCTTGGATGGAGGTGTAGGGGGAGGTGTTGCACCTCTTGCAGTTACAGGCAAAGGCACTGGGTCTGGTGGAGAAGTTGGTGGGGAGTGTAGAGCTGACGAGAGGATTGCAGATTGAATGCTCCCTTTGGAAAGCAGATAGGGGTGGGGACAGAAATATCTTTTTGGTGGTGGGATCTGATTGTAGGTGGCAGAGAAGTCAGAGGATGGAGCATTGAGTTTAGAGGATGGTAGGATGGTACCTGAGGGCTAAGGGGACTCTGTCCTTATTGTCAAGGTAGTAGGAGATGGACTTGGTGGGGCAGGAGCAGACAGAGACAATGGGTCTACCGGGTCAGTCGGGTTTATGGATTTTGGGAAGGAGACAGAAACAAGCGATACGGGTCGGGGAACTGTCAGGTTGGAGGCTGTGGACGGTAGATCCTCCGAAGTGATGAAGTTGTTGATGGTCTGGGAGATGATGGCTTGGTGATCAGCGGTCGGGTCATGATTGCGGGGATGGTGGGAGGAGGTGTCAGAGAGTTGGCGTCTGGCCTCAGCGATGTACAGCTACCGCCCCCCCCCCCCCCCCCAA